CCTGTTCCTTAGAGTAAATCTTTTACTGCCCCTCACCCATGTACTTGCATGTATCCCATTTTCAATAAAAAGGCACGATGATTCCTAGCAGTGGTCACTCCTCAGAGAGCGATCTTTGAGGGGTGTCCGGCAAAGGACGTGCATGAAAAGGCACCGAGGCTCTGCCTTCTGTTCACCTTCGCTGCCTCCGTCGAGATAACCCACCCATGCCGAGGCTAGTCCCCGGCAGATGCCCGCGTGCAAGGAGCCGAGCACGGGGCCACCAGGACAGAGGTCCAGGCAGTGTCGGCCAAGACGGCCTGGAACAGACCTGGGGCGGGCGTCCTGGGGCAGCCGCCTGCAGCCCGGGAGCCCGGGAGCCTAGCAGGGAGACTCCCAGGGACGGCCCGAGGGTGTCGAGGCTGTGCTATTTTGCATGTAGAGGGGCTGTTCCAGAGACCTTATTCATGTTTGGAGTCACGGCAAAGTACCAGGGTTCATTTTCCACCTACCTAATGAAGGTTTCTGATTATTAACATCTATTCTGAAATTAATCCTCGGAGCAATTTGCTGTTTCAGATATCGACCTGTTTGAGTTGACTGGCTAACCTGTTTATAGGGAGTAATGGCGCCTCATTCAGATCCTGGAACTTAAACAGCCCTCGCACACACGCATGCACACACACACGCACGCACGAGTCAGAGTAGAAACCTGTGCCAGGCGGGGACGCTCTGCCCCGGGCACACCTACCCGCCCGGCCTTGCTGGCAGCCTCTCTTGCTCAGAACTTCTTCCACCGAATCCCCGAACACCAGGTGGACGTTCTGCAGCAGGCCCTGCAGTGCAGACGGGGTGGGGGAGAGGGGAACCAGGGTGAGCAACGGCGGGCATACAGGCCAACGCGCATTGCGACCCTCTTCTGAGGGCCAGGCCGTGCCTCTGAGAGCAGATGTGTGGCTCTTGTGACCAGGTGCCCCGTAAAACTCAGTGCTCAGCACGGCAGAAGCAGGGGGGAGTCTCACACAGGCCACCCCCGGGCGTGCACAGGGACCTGGAGAAGGGGAGGCGGCCTCGCGCACTGCGGGCATTCGTGGACGGGCTCAGCACTTTCTAGGCCTCTCTTCCCTCACAGGGGCCTCGCGCTCAGTCAGGTCACTCTTGGTAAAGGTGTCAGAAGGCCACGGGCCCAGTCAGGGATGGGACGCTGGTGCGTGAGTGTGTCCCCCTCTCCGTGGAGGGAGGCCGCCCTCTCCGAGGGTTCGGGGTGCGTCTGTGGCCACGAGACATCAGCTCAATAGCAAGAGGGGTGTCTCCAGTCCGGGACGGAGGCAGCAGCTCAGGCTCGTCCCCACTGCCAGGACACGCTCGGGTCTGGGGAGGCAGCATGCAGGCACGCCACGGGGGCTTTCCTCCTCCTGGCCCACGTGCCCCTCCGCCTGGCCCGTGCTCGCCCTCACCTGTAGAGGCCCGCGCTGCCTGGCCATTTCACGGCACGACTACAGGCTGGGCGTGGCCTCGGCTGCAGCGAACCTGAGGTCGCCAGAGACCCCGGGAGGGTCAGTTCCTGACCAGCAAGCCTGACTTGCCCTCTGTCAGTGAGCTCAGCGCAGGTCAGACACACACGGTGACAGCTCCCACTGCAGCACGGCCCAGCAAGGTGTGTGTGTACATGTGGGGCCACGTGTGACCACGTGAGGGACAGTCGTGTGTGTAAGAGTGTGAAGGTGTGTCTGTGCATCTGTGTGCACACACATGTGAATTTATTATGTGCGTTTGTGTGGTTTGGGGCACACGTGGATGTGTGTGAATGTGTGTGTGCTGTTTATGTACATGTGTGTTCATATTTGTGTGTTGTGTGTGCATATATGGTGTGTGTGGTGTGCATAGTGTATGTGTTTACATGTATGTGTGTGGTGTGGCATGTGTGCTCACATGCGTATGTGGCGTGTGTGGTGTTCATGTGTGGTATGGTGTGTGGAGTATATTGAGTGGTACATGTGCATGCGGTGTGCATGTATGTAATGTGTACAGTGCATGGGGTGTGTGGTGTGCTAAGTTTGCATGTGTCTGTGGCATGCAGCGCAGTGCAGGCATGTGGTGTGTGGTATGTTGTGTGTGTGGTATATGCACTGAACTGTGCACACGTGTGTGTATGCACTGCATGTAGCGGCACGTGCGTGTGTGGGCTGAGTGACTCTGAGGCCAAATGAGCTGTGCCTCGCCCGGTCAGCTCCGCAGCGCCCGCCCCGTGGCCCAGCCCACGCACCCTGAAGTGGCTGTCGCGGACGGCGCCCTTGGCCACATACATCCTGCCCTTGTCGGCCTGCAGCTGCTCGTAGAAGGGCTCGTCCAGCGCGAAGCTGTCCACCAGGTCGCAGCCCACGTGCAGGCTGTAGGCCTCGCCCGTCACCTGCACCGTGATGTTCTTCCACTGGGAGTCGGCCAGCCCCACGTCCTCCAGCGAGACCACGTGCTGGGAGCCGTCCAGCCAGTAGGCGAGGTCCAGCGTGTCCGCGGGTCCATTGGAGACGATCTCGAACTGCCTCTGGGAGGCACCGGGGCCCTCCAGGGCCAGCAGCGTGCCCCGGGACGTGCCGTCCTGCTTGAGCTGGGCCGTCAGGAAGAAGCCCTCCTTCTGCCGCATGAGCGTGGTGATCCTCCCCAGGGCGTCTGCGCTCACTGGAGGGATGTAGTCGAAGCGGACGAAGCGGTAGGCCGGCGAGCCGGGGTCAGGCCCGCGGAACAGCTTGGCACCGATGGTCTTGCGGCCGATACCGCTGACGCTGAGAAGGTCAAAGGAGACCTCGTTGTCCTGCTCACCAGCTGCCAAAGGGGACAGAGGGGAGGGGACGGTGACATGCCTTTAGCCGCACTGCGACAGAGCCTCCGTGCACCCTATCCTCGTCGAGGTCATCTGCGTTACTTAGACCACGCTCCACCTTGTCTCGTAAAAGCACATTTAACGAATTATTCTGTTTCATTTTATTTATTTACTTTTCACTTGATCAGAGAGAAACACAGAGAGACCGAGAGAGGGAAAGTGAGAAAGCAAGCCACCAGGTTCAGGACTCAAACCGTGGTCGGCCATGCGGGAGCATCCAGTGCCTTTACCACCACGCCACCTGCTGGCCCCACTTTCCAAGTCAAAATGTGCACTCCAGGACAAGAATTGGTTTCAAGTCTATAAATAGACGGTTTTAAGTCACCATCAAAGCCAATAACCCAAAATGGTATTCTGAACACAGATTTTTTAAAAAAGTAAATTTTCATCTGATACTTGCTAAATTTAAGCGTTAGAACACACATTGTTGGGATCAGGAGGTGGCAAGGAATCCCACATGGCCAACCCCAGCTCAAGTCCCGGACCAGGCAGCTGGAACATTACAGTGGGTGCCCGTGTGTACACACCCCAAATCCTAAGAGAACAGTGGAGAAGAAGGGATGAGGCATGGACACCCGGGGGACAACTTCTGGTCCCCCTCCCAGCAAGTGCACCCGCCCTGTGGCAAAGACTGACACAAACACAGCATTGCCAAGAGGTGTAAGCCGCACCACTGTCGGTACAGCTGTGTGGAGTCAGTACCGTTACAATCTGTGGCTCAGCGACAGTGTCTCCATGACGTGCCTAAACAACACAGTCACAGACGCTAGGAGAAACTTATCTCCAAGTGCATTGCTTTGGTCATGCTTTGTACTTGGGGAGTAAAGCCACGGTTTAGGGAATTGGCCTAAGAACACCAGGTTTAGCGTGAAGGAGCACTGTACAGTCATGAGCGCGGTGGTGCAGGGATAAACGCACGGGAGAGTATTTAAGGCGTGTTCTACAATGGTCAGGAGAAAGTGTGAAGAAAAGAGGTTACAAATCGCCAAGCACACGCAGCACTGCACATACAGCGTGGAGAAAGACGGGAACCGTCCGTGGCCTGGGGGTCGAAGAGGCTGGATCCCACGTGGCCGACTGCATGGTCTGCACGCACGTGGGTGTGCGTGTGAGTGTGCCCAAATCTCAGAAGGAGAAACGGAGGAAGCGCAGTGTGACCATCCCCCCGGGGGCGCCCACTCACTGTCCCTTTCTCCCTCTGCCCCTGGTGAGGGTGCGCCATCCAGCAAGTTCAGACAAGACAAGACTAAGCTGGGCATAGCAGAGTGCTCCACCTCCAGGGGCGAATGCTTTTTAATCGCTTCATGTTATATGGACTCAAATACATAAATACTGTTCGCCAAAGAGTCACGAAGGTCCCACCGGCCAGCACGTCCCACCGTTTTTATCACCTCTCACTTTGCAGCGAGACCACGTCCAGGAGCCCCGAACCACGGCCCCTGCCCGCACTCACCTCGGACGCTGAGGCTGGCCCACAGCACCAGCAGGACCAGTACCCGGAGCATCCCGCCTCCTGAGCTGCGACCCTGCAGACAAACCGGACCTAAGTTAAGCCCTGAGTGTGGACGAGAAAGCCAGGCATGCGACCACTTAGGAATGGTTTGTGCTGATTATAAACATCAGAAGCTAGAATTAGACAAGAAACTTGCTTTTCAAATAAGACCCTCTTGACTCTGGTTAATATTTATTGGGCTAGAATTGGTGGCTCTGCGCTAACCACACTCTAAAGACCCAGTTATTAATCTTGGTAGTGACCTCGGAGCACACTCTGACCGTCCCTGTTTACAGATGAACCCAGGGCTTGCCCAGTGACATTCTCTAATGGACTCGAACCCAGAAAGCTCAAGTTTAGAAAACATCCCGCCTGGAGCAGCAGTCCACAGACGTGATTGTGTAAATACCCGAGACAGAGAACAGGTCCGTGGAACTTCGTGGAACAGAATCAAGGGAGCCGTGTGTGAAAGTTGGAAACTGTGCATCTTACAAACAGCAGTGTTCTCCTTAGCACGAAGCTTACCCTGCCTTTCTTTTTCCTGCAGGCCTGTTTTCCATTCTTGGGGGTTGCAAGCTGGCCTGGCTCAGCACACGCTGGACAAAAGTCAGGAGACCTGGACGGAAGCCCGGCTCTGTCTTAACCCCCTCACAGCCGGGTAAGCCATGTGGGGCTCAGCTTCCGTGTCCAGAACGCTGTGAGGGTGTTCCGAGGACCCTCCTCCTCTCAGCAGGAGCCAACACGCGGACCCTGACTCCCGCAACCTCACAGGCGTGGACTTGCTAGCGTTTCCCAGGTCGAGAGCCCAGGGCGCCCTCAAGAACGTGGGTGCCCTGACAGGCGCCTTCCGGCCGCCACGCTCCCACGGAAGGGGCTGCGGCTGCTCCTGGAGCGGACCTGGGACCTAGGGCTGAAAGGGCATGGAGGCGTGTCTCAGCCGTCACACCGAGGAGGCGACACGGGGGCTCGCGGGGCAGCCCATGGCGATCACTGGGCCACTGTGCCCTCGCCCTCGCCCGTAGAACAGGGAGAACGGTCATTCGAAACACCGGTCTCGCGGTTCCCTGGGAGTGTGTAGCGACACGGTGCTGGAGTGCGAAGCACATTTAATCACAACCTGCCTCGTGGCACCTGATGGGAAGCTGAGGGCAGGAATACTGGAAGTGCGTCTGCAGCAGAGCTGGCCTCGCCCTGGCCAGGAGCACCCGACCCTCTTGCAGGAGTGTTCCCCTGCCCTTCCCTGGGCCGCAGCGGCAGAGACGAGGGTGCTGGGGCCTCTGCAGAGCCCTGGGAGGGTGCGCTCCGGGGAGCCCCGGGGAGAATGGTGCCCATGCGGGCGGCACCACGGAGCGGTCTCAGAGGAGCCGGCCCAGCAGACCCTGGCCCTCCCGCCTCTCCAGCACTGGCCCGGATGTGCGAGCCGGAGAGTGCCCCGTCGCCTGCCGACCGCGGGGTGGTGGGATGACACCAGCTCTGCCTGGAAGGTAGTGGGGCGTTGGAGAAGGTCAGAGGTCTGCTGCCCTCGGGCCGAGGCTCCCACCCCATCTGGCGGGAGCCACCAGCACAGGAGGGTGCGGCATCAAGGACCCGGGCCTTGGAGAGGCACCCGTGGCCGAGTGCACCACGCAAGGGGCCTGGCGTGCATCCTCGCCATGCTCACAGCCAGTCCTGTGTCTGTGCTCATCTCACCCCGCTCCAAGGATCCCAAAGCCTTTCTGCAAAGCAGCACACAGCTGGACTCCCGCGAGCTAGCGCCGCAGAAAGGGACCTTGCTGAGACACCACTCCCTTCCGTGAAAGCGGCCGGGGGACCCACCCTCCAGGGGGAGCAAAGTCCTGCCTCTGCCAGTCACAGCCCTCACTGGCCACAGCAGTCCCTAACGGCGCTCACACTCCCGGCCGGCCGCATGCTGATGTGGGGTCTCTGCGTGTCGGCTCCTTCCACCTTCTCAGGGAGCTAACTGCCGACCCTCTTCAGTCACTAACTCTGATGCCCCGACAACAGAAGTGTTTCCCAGGCTTCCGCTCTAAGTGACATGCTCAAGCCGGGAGCATGCTCAACCCTCAGGCAGGCTCTCCGCTGCCCTTCTCCCCAGAGACCAGGAGCCCCCTGAGGTGGCAGGGGATGGAGTCGTGCAGTCGGTAAGGACAGAGAGCCTTACCTAGTCTGTGAGGAAGAGGCAGTGCCGAGGAGCGCCGTGGTCCGGAGGACCAGGCTGTGCCGGAGCAGGGGAGCGGCCGGGTCCCGTGCCGAGCTCTGCCGGTGGACGTGGCCTCAGCTGAGCTCTGGGCCGCCCCTTATATGCCGCGTCCCTGTGCGGGGCTGTCAATCAGACCCTGAGGAAGCACATTTAATTCATTCCTTCGAAGGAATGACATAATGCCTCTGCTCTCTGCATTGCTCCGGGTACCTGGGGCCTGCGTCCAAACCCAGCCTCTCTGTGCTGGGCACTCCCCCCGTCCAGCCCAGGCCCTGCCGGACGGGGAACGGGGAGGAGCCAGACAGAGAGGGAGAGGCAGGGACTCACTTTCCTGTCTTCTTTCAGGAAATAAAGTGCTATAAATAAAACTAGCAAATTGGCTGGAACTCTCAATTTTGCTTAAGAGGAAAAAATGCAAGTTCTATGCTTTAAATATGTTTCAAATTACCCAACGTGATCTTGGTCTTTCTAAACCAAGTAAGGGACCATCAGCGACACAGAAATTGGGGGCGCAATGTCTTGTCTGAGTATTGAAGTCACTGCTGCTAAGAGGAAGCTGACAGTCCACTTCCGGCAGTTATGAAACACAAGGCCTTGCAGCTCTGGGGCGTTGATTTCCATCCAAACCTATCTCACGGCTTAGTGGGCATGCAGAGAGCAATGTCCCCCGCGGAAGTCCACGTGATACATTCTTCACAGCCCGAGAATGGCCCACAGTGGGGTTCCGCGGTTGTCAGAGGGACAGCCCTGAAGTGGGCTGTGCGGGACGGACTTACGTGACGTCAGACACTTGCTGCTGCCCATCCCCAGCTCACAGACTGCCCAGGGCAGGGGGACAGTGGACAGGAGAGATAGTGTCGCCCTGGGGCAAAGGAGTCAGTGGACGAAGGACAGATCAGTGTCACCCCAGGGTGGGGGCCAGTGGACAGAGGGGAGATTAGTGTTGCCCTGGGCAGAGCAGTCAGTGGACAGAGGAGGGACTGGTGTTGCCCAAGGCCACCCACACAGTCTCCATCTGGCAGTCGGCCCCGAGGTACCCGGGTGACGGCTGGCAGGACAGGCTTTGATGAGAGACACGGGGGCCGTGCCCGAGACTGCAGGGACATCGCTGAGGGTCTGGCCTTGCCATCACTGCGCGTGGCCCCACAGCCAGTGGGTGTCGGAACCGAGGACAACATCATGCTGAGTACGACCCCCGCGCCGGCTTCTCATCCGTGTGAAAGACAGGGTCACAGGGCGGGTGCAGAGGGGAGCGCTCCCGCCATCCTCGGGCGACTGCCCACTGGGCGCCTGGTGAGTGACCGTTTCTGAGGTTCGGGGCGACTGCGTGAGGAGGGCATGCCTTGCCAAGGCAAGGTCTCCACCTGCGTTTAGCTGCTGGGTGATGCATTGGACGCCCCGAGGACTCAGAGGTGGGGAAGCCGAAGTCTAAGCCCCGGTCTGGGTTCGAGACCCTGAGAACCCAGGGGCCCTGCGTGGACCTCCCAGGTGCAGAGGCAGGGAGCTCTGCTGTCCGGGGCGGCTGAGGGAGGACTGCTGTCCCTACCAAACCCACCACCCCCTGCATGTCCACGGTGCTTCCTGAGGGATGAACGCAGGGTCTGAGTGTGCCAGGTGGGGCTCAGCCGCCCTCAGTGTGGCCCGTCCCCGTAGCCAGGGGCCCAGAGTGAACACACGGGAGTCTCCCACGGGGCACCCACACTCCAGGTGGCACGTCCGGGCTCCAGGGCTCACACTGGCGGCCCCGGGGCTCAGGCTTTCAGCCTCGGACCCTGAGTCCCACCCACCATCGGCCTCCTACTCCGAGGCCCTTGGACTCGGACCGAGCCCACTGCGTCCGGGGTTCCCAGCTTGCTGACGCCTGTGTGGGCCCTGTAGCCACCGGACGCGGGGGCCAGGTCCCCAGGGATCTCGCGGGCTCCGTCTCCCCAGAGAACCCAACCACTACCTGTTTCTCTCATGGTCAAGGCCAGATGGTGGGGGCAGTGCTGAAGCCGGACCTCAGGACAAGGCCAGCTCAGAGCCCAGCCCACAGCCCATCCTGGCCAGCTGTGATGGGGTGACTCTGGGCGTGCAGACCCCGCCGGGGCCTCCTGGTCCCCCAATCTTACTCTCTCTCTCTCTCATGCTCTTTCTCAGAAATAAGCAGGGTTTTTGTTTGTTTGTTTGTTTTGTTTTGTTTTTTGGAAAAAGGAGCTTGCAGTGGAAGATGCTACTGTGTCTGCCTGTCTTTGCCCACAGGTTGGACCAGGCAGCCCCACACCATGAGAGGCACTTCCCCACCTGTCTGCTTCCCTGGCCGGGGGCGGTGTTAGCCACAGCAAGCCCGAGGACGGTGGTGCTGCTCCTGTGGGCTCAGGACGGGCTGCTGGGTGGACAGGGGGCCTTCGCCACTGACGAGGGGTGGGATCCATGGGAACCGACCCTTGTGTTGGGAGAGGCTCAGCGGGAGAACCTGCAGCAGGTTCCTGGGGTAAAAAAGATCCTTCCATAGGGAGACTTCTCCAAGGAAGCCAGAGGGTCTGCAGGGACCCACAGGACGCAGGCAGCCTGGCTGAGAGCAGGGCCTCTGGGAGCCT